ATGAGAGACAACAACCTTGCTCTCTTCGTCTCCTTCAACGACAACTTGAAGAGTCTGAAGAGCCCTATACCTCACTTCATGACTATTACTCTTTAACATATCGGTAATCAACCGAACAAGCTGAGGATTATGCACACGGTGCTTAATCAATCTTATGTTCCTACAAATTTCTCTGACATTCTTCAAAGCCTGCAAGATATTGATCTCAGAGTTCCCCAAATATAACGACTGACGAGCAATATCGAGCTTCAAAGCATCATTCCTAGCTCTCCACTCTTCTATCGTGTTACGTAAAGCTATACTCGGGCTTAAATCAGTGATACTCAGCACCTTGGAAGTTATAGGACAAGACAAAGGCCGGCCATTTTCGCGACATTCTTGAAACCATTTCTCAATTGCTTCACGCTCAAAAGTCTGACCATTCTCCAAAGTAACTGGATTTTGCATAACTTGCTTTGTCAATGGACATATAAACGCTTCGTATATGTTATCGATCCCTGGCTCGAAATTCGAGCTTTGATCTGATTGACTCCCATCCCAACTTCCAGCCATATGATGATTGATGATTGGTTTTTGCTCTTCACTCACTGTCATTAAGCCAAAAATGTACACTTTTATACCAAAGGAATCATTCAGTTGTTATTGGTTTTGATTGTCTTTATACCAAATTAAGCTAACTTGTGCATTTTATTGAGCAGAGTAACAAAGATTTAGCATCTAAATCAAAACTATACCAACAAAAACAATAACGATTCTTATAATCCTTTATATGGCAAATATTACCAAATTTAACAAAACACACGGAAAAAAGGAAGATTACCAGTTTCAAACGCAAGAAGCCCAAAAGCAAAAAAATAAGATCCAAACCAAGAAAGACCTTTGCTTTTTCTTCTTCTTTCTAGCTAGCTAGCTTGAGAATTTTGAGAGTGACCACTGGGTTTGATTTCTTGAGTAGAAATCGTGTGAAAGTGAGTAACTTTCTCGTCTTCTATATACAGAGCAAAATTCGTGTTTTCTACTCTCTGCTCAAGCTTGAATTTCGACAGAGATATTTTAGTTATAGAACTGAATCGAGAGAGCTAGATATGAAATGAAAAAACACGAGGAAGAGAAAGTACAAGAGAGTTTCAGACAAATGGGAAAAAGAAAAAAGAAAAACACCGACAAATAAAAATTAGAGAATATTCAAAAACTAAAAGCGTTGACCAAAATCAT